ACCGCCCTGGGCTGGGGAAGCGAGGCGCAGCAGTGACCTCCTCGGTGTCGGCCAGCTTGTGCCATCTCTGGGTTTCATTTCCTAGGACCCTGGGTAGAGAGCTATGTGCTGTGAGCGGAGGGGAGAGGGCAGAGGACCTTCCCTCCCTGAAGTCCGGGCCTAGATTGAGGGGCACGGTTGCTGGCCATCTGGGAGTAGGCTTCTGCGCTGGTGGCCTGGCTGGCCAGAGGCCAGTGGCACTCAGGGCGGGCGCAGTGTCCCCTGGTGGATGGGAGGTGGCCCTGTACCTGGAACTGGGGTTGTGCGGGCTGGCTGCGCTCCACAGCTACATCACTGACCTCCAGGTCTTCACTCTCCAGGAGCAGGTCATCAGCCTCCTGGAGTCGCCAGCAAGGAAGCCCCAGCTGCCTGGACCAGCCGGTGCCTGGCTGGTCTTCTCGTCCTGGAGGGCTGGGTCTGCCAAGCTTGCCCTGTCCCTGTGCCCTGTCCCCTGTGCCCAAGGAGTGCAGCGGTGTAGGCAGTGACGGAGACCTCTCCCAGCGGCCGGCACCGGAATCTAGACCTCCCCGCTTGGGGCCCAGCTCAGGCTTTCTATCTGGTGGGCTGTGCTCCATGGACTATTGGGGCCCCTATGCTTTGGTGCAGGGTTCGCTGGACACATCCCCCCGCCCCCACCCTCTCAAAGCCTGGTGCTTGGCGGCCCATTAGTCCAGCCCAGTGAGGGGCTGCCTTGGGGAAACCCTAGAACCACAAGGTACTCTGCCTACGGGCTGCTGGACAGATTCAGTAAAACCTGCAGACCTGGAACAGACTGCAGACTGCGGAGAACGGGGTCAGAACCCCTCCTCTCTCCTCGTTGACACTCCTTCCTTCTACAACCCTGCACGGTTGACAAAGGCTATAGCTGGAACCTGCCCCCAGGCCCAGGCCCAGCCCAGACAGAACTTCTAGGCCTTCACTTCCCTCTTCGCAGTGAGAGGAGTGAGTGCAGTGGCTGCCTCACTTGCTAGCCCGGGCCTGGAGCGGGAAGGGTCCCAGAGAACAGAGGGTCATGCCACTGAGTGGACGTGGGGTCGCAGGAAGCGCCCTGCCCTGGTTTTCCCTCCTCCCGGTCTTAAACCCTGAGGTGCTCAGACCTGCACCGTAAATTCAAGTGCAAGTCAGGAAGAGTAGATTTGGAAAGGAAGCCCTGGCCACTAGGAGTGGGGGCCATCGCAGTGGTTCTCACGTTCTGAAACGCAAGCCTGCCTCTGAGCGTGGTGTCCCGAGCATTCGCACCTGCAAGGACCTGGCTTCGAATCCTGCTCCTGCTTAGGGAACTGCAGGGCCAGCGCGCTTCGGTCTCTCCCCCAACTTCAAGCAGCAAAGTGGCCACGTCCCAACCTCATACTGTGGCCGTAGCCCGGGGCAAAGAGCAAGAACCGGAACCCACACGCGATACCCCAGCCCACCTGAGACCGGGAGAAGGCAACTGAAGCTTTCCCTGGAGGAGAGGGCGCCCGCGGGCAGGCGCTGCCGAGCTGTGCCCGTGGCAAG